TATAGACAATTATTTCTTAAAAATAATTTAAAGTGTGACTGGTCTCCTCTGCATATATATCTCCTGGATAGAACTCTTACCTTAGTAGGGTAGATGGTAAGCTGGCAGACCATTAGATTATTATATAAAATGTTTCACATGACATCTTTTTTTTTTTTTTTGCACTAATTTTCTTCTTGTAGCCTTTTAAAGCTATATTTTAGCCTTTTATTCTATTTGAACTGATATGTAAGTCTTTTGTGTCCCTCAAAACTTTTTTTTTTAACCTGTCTTTCTGTTTGATATCTTTTTAAACAACTTTCCTTTGGTGGGTTACTATCCTAGATTTAAAGTTTGTCTTTAATTTTTTTCTACTTTTTACCACTAAAATTTAAAGACAGTCAAATATGATCTCCCTTCCCAGCACATCTTGTTTTTGTTGTTGTCAGTTGCCAGAGTCAATGCAGACTCAGGCAACACCACGTGTGCAAGAGTTGAACTGCTCCATAAGGTTTTTTAGGCCTTTGGAAGCAGATCACTAGGCTTTTCTTTCGAGATGTCTCTGTAGGTTCAAATTGCCAGCCTTTCAGCTAGTAGTCAAGCACTTGCACCACCCAGAAAAAGCTAAAGCTCCTAGGCAGGAAGCCCTGTGTGGTCTAAATAAGCCTTTTTCTGTTAGTCATAGTTAAGTCAGAGAAAGGAGGGTGTGACTGGGCCAAGTAGTAAAATCATTCAAGTGATGAGGGAATAAAAGAGGCATTGGAAGAAGAAAAATGAAGGGAAAAATGACAGGAAAAATATGAGTAACTGAGAAAAAATTGGGAAGGCGGATTCAAAGTAGAAGCGTCCAAAACCCTATCTGACTCACTTCTTCAGAAATCTTAACTAATCCTGGCCCACGGGGGTCAACTTTTATCCTGTTAACTCAGAATTCAGGCTTCTATTAGTACTTTGGAAAAGCCCTGATGGTGCAGTGGTTAAGCACTTGGCTGCTAATGAATGGAAAGGTTGGTGGTTTGAACCTACCAGTGGCTCCATGGGAGAAAAATGTGGTAGTTGGCTTTCATAAAGATTATAGCCTTGCATACTCTGTGGGGCAGTTCTGCTCTATCCTATAGTCACTATGAATCCTAATCCACTTGAGGACAGTGGGTTTGTTTTGTGTTAGTACTTTACTACTTTAAGCTGGTTGGAATGTTGTTCTGTGTTCTACTTTAGTGTGACACAAAAATCCAATGTTTTTTTTTTTTAAAATGGATTTTGCTGGAGCTTTCAATGTGTATCAATGTCCACTAATACAATGTCATGAGAGAGTCAGGATTGAGGCCCTAAAGGAAGCTGTAGTGAAAATTTCAGTGAGTAGACTCCCTTTGCAGCTTTAAATTCTGGTCCGTGCTTTAATGGAGTCTCTGTTACTCCAGTCATATGCATAGTGTACTACATAATTGTGGAATAGAGTGATTTCCCATGTCATCTAATCCTACTTCTTCCTGGCTTCATCACATTCTTTTGTGGGTGAATTATAAACCACTCTGTGCCTCAAGTTCCTTAACAATAAGGTTAAAATAATACCTACCTCAATAAGATATTAGAAGATCTGTGTTCTGGTTACCTGACAAGAAATATATACCACAAATGGGACGGCCTTAACAAACAGGAGTTTATTCTTACAGTTTGGAGGCTTTAAGTCCAAGTTTAAAGTGCCAGGCTCTAGGGGCTGGGTGAAAGCCCCTCAATCTTGGGGACCAGCTCTGCCTCCTGCTCCCGGCCCACTGGAGCTAGAGGCATTTCTTCACTCAGACAGCTGCTGGCTGCTGAAGCTGAGAAGCCTCAAGGTTAACAAGTAAAAAGGCACAGTCCCAATGTTACCAAACCACACGGCAGGCCATTAACTTAAGTCCATTGTAAGTCCCAAAATTGGCAGAGCACAGCAGGATGCTGAGTAATGACACAGCTACATGCAGGGTTCAAGCTGTCATAGGCTAGAGACCATTCTCAAAGCTTTTCCTTATATACCAGAAGCCAAAGGCAGCTACTCAGCTGTTCACAGTAGATTCCACCATGGAGTTGATTACCAATCTCATCATGGGGAATAACTACCACCAGCTGCCCAGCCACTCAACCAGGTCCAGCCAAGTTAACACAAAAATATAACCACCACAATTTGCAAAGCACTTGAAATCATGCATACAGTTATATGTTCAAAAATGTGAGCAGAATGTGAGCAATTGTTAAGACAACTGATTTAGATTAAACCTGATAACTACAAATATTAACTGTTCCTTTATGCTACATCTCAAGGTGTGAGGAGTCTGGGGGGTTCTGGAAACACTTTTCTGTAGTAAGTGAAGTCAACTTTTTCTTAATACTAAGAGGTTATTTGCCTTCTTTCACATTCTCTCAAGAATACAATGGAATTTTCCAGAGCTATGTGAAAAGTGATGTTAACATACAGAATCAGGTAAGAGAATCCATTGTCTTCTAATTTAGATATTAAAAAGGTTTGAAAAAATGCAAACTATGCCACTTTCCCCTCTAAATTTCCTATTTTTTGTTTTATAAAAATATTACTTGTTAATGGCATTATTTGTTATATGAGTATTTTTTTTTTCTACTGTGCTTAGGGGCAAATTTACAGAGCAGAATTCATTTTACAGTAAACATTTCGTGTACATTTGGTTTCACTCCCCAGTTTCCATTCCCAACTTTAACCCACTCTCCTCCCCTCCCTTCTCAGTAACATCTCCTCTTAGTTTTTCACTCCTGTGTGTCCTGCTTCTCCTCAGTGTGAATGAGTTAATATTTTTTAAATGTTTTAATTTCTACAATTAACTATCGATAGATATAACCTACCGAAACAAAAGCTCTTTGGGGTCTTCAATAATTTTTAAGAGTGTCAAGGGGTCTTGAGATCAAAGTTTGAGAACCAATGCTCTACCGCAACCCGTGACTTAAGAAACATAACGTCTTGTGATCCCCGTAACTTCATGCTTTCCAGACTTTAGGCCTTTTCTTGAGGTTTGGGCAATCTCCTTTCGTAGTGATAACTCCTGGGAAACCCAAGGAGGGGTCGCTATGAGTCAGGTCCGACTCCATGGTAGTGTGTTTGCGTTTTGGTTTGGGGTTTCCTCTGTGGGGACTGAACTTTTTCCACTTCTACTTATCAAAGTCCCACATTTCCTTCAAGAATATATAAAACTTGTTCTCGAAGCTGGTCCAGACTTTGTGGCCTCCTCAGTACGCTCTTCCGGGTGCTGGGCCCTCCTAGGACCCTTTTGTCCTCGCTCAGGCACTTGGCCCTTCAGCCTTGACAACACTTGCCCTGAACGCCATGCTCTCCTTGGCTGAGAAACTTTCTCCAGACCTGGGTACTCCCCAGCTTAGCTCAGTCACTATTTTCACCGGCTAAGGCGGTGCATAGGCTCAACTATGCGGGACGCTACCAGGGTCACTGGGGAGCAGCAGTCAAGACTGTCGCGGTGAGCTGCTGCGGTAGCCAAAGCTGGAGCTGGGGAACAAGCGGAGGGATCCAGTCAGCCAAAATTTCCCGGAAACGCCCACTGCTCAAGGGACTGGGCCCAGAGCCCACAGGGGCGTGGCTTCCAGACCGCGCGGGAAAGGGGCTGGCGCCGCATGCGCGCGCTTTGTCAGCGGCCGCGCGCAACACGCTCAGGGACGGGATGGCGGCGGCGGCGGCTGGAAGCGGGATAACCCGAGAGGAGGAGGGGCCTGGTGGTGAGGCAGCTGCCCCACAGCCCCAAGCCCCCACGAATACGTCGGGGACTCGTCTTTCAAGGTTGCCTCTAGCACGAGTGAAGGCCCTGGTGAAGGCAGACCCTGACGTGACGCTCGCGGGACAGGAAGCCATCTTCATTCTGGCGCGAGCCGCGGTGCGGCGCGAGCGCGAGGCCCACGTCAATGGCGGGGGCGGCAGGGAGGAGGGGACAGAAAGGGGCGGGCCACGTGGGACCTTCCGAGGAGGCGGAGCGATAGGGACGCGGCTTAGTGACGGCTTGGGAGGAGGAGGATCCGGGCGGGGTTTGTTTGGGTACCTAGAGTTGAAAAAGATGTTGGGGCCCGATTCTGACAAGAGTGTTTGAAGGGAAGACTGAGGAAAAGGGTCACATGCCTACAGTAGTTAAATTGGTGTGTTCACACGTTTTTCTCTTCACGAGGGCCTGGACAGTGACTTTAATTTTCACCTTCAGTGGCTAACACAGAACTTGTAGGCGTCGCAAGTAAATGGGTGGATTTACAAGTCAGGAAGAGGAGATTTGTTATTCTGGGCTACTGGGAGAGAGGGGAGGGGCATAGACATTTCATGAAATTCAGGACAACCTTCAGCTTCCCTAAGAATATTCCCTCCCCCCAGCAAACAGTATGGCTCATCAGGAACTGCTGGAACCTACTGATAAAACTCTTCTTGTTTGCTCCACAGGAACTGTTTGTGGAAACCATTGCAAAAGATGCCTATTGCTGTGCTCAACAGGGAAAGAGGAAAACCCTACAGAGGAGAGATTTGGGTAGTGTCCTTGTGGTAACTTGAGGTGGACAAAGGAGCATTGGTCAGGGCTTCCTTTCTCACTGGTTGAGAAGATAGGCACTGTGATATGTGGAATGTCATAGGGTCTACTCATGTCCCAGTGACCTACCACAGTGCTAGAAAGCTGTAATTTTAGAGTCTGTTTTGAGTTGCTGGTGGGGTGGTGGGGTAGAGTATGAAAGGAGGCTAAGAATTGCCAAAGCAGTTTCTACTATGTTCTACCAGGCTTCACATTTTTTTTTCCCCCTAGAATTTGTGGGTTTCATTTTTGACCCTTTTGTCTAGTTGCTAATGCTTTGAATTTTTACTCTCCTTGCTATATTGCCAAACTAATGACATTCAGAAGAGACCTAGTGGCTCAGTGGTTAAGTGCTCAGCTGCTAACCAAAAGGTTGGTGGTTCAAACCCACCAGCTGCTCCACGGGAGAAGGATATGGCACTCTGCTTCTGTAAAGATTTACAGCCTTGGAAACCCTATGGGGCAGTTTTACTCTGCCGTACAGGGTCACTATGAGTTGGTCACAATGGGTCACAATGCCAGTGGGTGTGAGTAATGACTTTCAGAGTAAAGAGGAGAAGTCAGTTTAGGTTTAAACCAGGATTGCAGGGAGTGAGGAGAGTTCCATTTTTTTCTCCTCAAAAAACAGTATGTACCCTGGCTTTTTTTTAACTCTTCTGCAGAGACAGCTGATGTGTAGGAATTGGTGATGGAGTAGAAATGGGTCTCGGGCAAATTTTATTAATGCTCTCATTTTCTTAAAGCCTCATGCTTTTTCACTGTGTGGCTTGTGCTGTTTTGGGGCTAATGTCTAGATAACCAGAATTAGTTAAATGTCCTATTTTGTGTTTCAGATAATGCAATAGAAGCTGTGGATGAATTTGCTTTTCTGGAAGGTGAGTTTGCTATCAGTGGGTAATCACTTCCACCTGTTATCTTCCATGCTAATCTGAATTTTAAACCTTATAAAATGGATGCTTGGTTCTTTCTTGTTTGAACAGGGATAATTCTGTTTCCTTTTAGATGAGAAAAACAAACTTACTAAGTCAAGTAAGATTGAGTTTGTTCCTTTGTGAAATTAGAACTTCTACCTGGAAATTATTAGCTATAAAGAAATGGGAAGGACTGTAAAGACCCTAGTGGAGTTAGATGAATTCAGAAGTCTTACTCCTCCCTTGGTGTCTATTCTGAGGTATAAACCTTCTTCCTCATCCTAATGTTAGAGATTGGAAATGATTGCCAAAGTTTATAGTTACCTCTTTTTCCTTTTTCAGTAATCTGTAAAGTGATTATTTTGCAGCAGTCAGATTCTCTACTTGCCTATATCAATTTGTTAGGAATTTTGGATTAACTCGTTTACTAACTAAATCTTAGTGTCACTGAAATAGCAAATATTGGAAGTACCTCATTTTAGTTAACCTTCTCTCAGAGCTATTTTTGTTACTTCTAAATTTGACCAGCTTACTCTTTACTACAATATTCTGATTGAATGGCTTTGTGAAAGTCATTTGCCTTCAGTTCATTCTCACCTTCACCCCACCAGGGTGTTATCATTACCTTTTCAAGCCTCATTACCTTCAGAAATCTTTTCTTGATTTATTTGTTTCATTCTTTTCAGATCTTTGTTCTGTATCTCCATATGAACCTGGGCCCCTTATTCTTTTGGTACATTCTTTTAAATTTGTTTTAGTTGCTTGTTTTTTAAATTATTCCCATGGCCAGCTTCCAGCCTAGATAATTGAGTGCACTCCTAATTTGTAAAGCTGCCATCAGCTTTTTTGTCCCCACTTATTCATTTTTCTTAAAAATAACTTGTTTTTTCAATTGCTTACCTAAAGCAAGCAACTTCCTGTGACTGGCTTCCTGTTGGTTCTAGTCATAAAACTTTGGAGCCTACTTTACCTTTTAATTACCAACTTTTAAAAGAGATGTGTGCTGTGATCAAATTTGTGTTCTGGGGAGATAACACTGGTGCCCTTTGAATAAATGGTTGGAAGGTGCCAGAAATAGAAATGGAGAGGCCTCATGTAGTTTTTCATCCCACAGTTCCCTCCGCCATAGCTCCCTTCAAATCTAAGGCCAACCTGACTCTTATCTACCTCCTCTGTGCACTCCATCATCATGTCAGTCTTTAAGGTGTGTTCTCTTGCACAGTATGGGGAGTAGTTCTTTTTTTTTTTTTTTTTTTTTGTGATTTGGGTGAAAGTTTACAGAGCAAATTCACTTTCTATACAGCAGCTCACGTACACTTTGTCTCAAGACATGGACTGCAATTTCCCACAATGCAACAGCCTCCCTCCCACTTCCTCCCCATAGTCACGTCTTCCCTGTGTCCTTCCCTCCCCATGCACTCCTGCCCCCTGAGCTGTCTCCCTGTGCATACACAGTCCTTCTATTCTCCTGTGATTGAGCTCCCCAAGGGGTATCTCTACCTAATGTAAATGTTCAGCTTATGAAAACTAAAAAAAAAAAACTCACTGCCTTTGAGTCAATTCAACTCTTAGCGACCCCTCCTTGGGTTTCTGAGGCAGTATCTTTACAGAAATAGATTGCCCAATCTTCCTTCTGAGGAGTGGGTGGTGGGTTTGAACCATCAGCCTTCTGGTTAGCAGTCAAATGCCTTAGGCACTACGCCACCAGACCTCATATGCCTGTCTTTTGTTTGGCTGGAAGCCACAGGTGTGGGTTCAATTCCAGACCTGAAGGGCAACTAGGGGCCATAATCCAATGGTTCCATCAGGCTCTATCAGACCAGCATACCTGGTCACTTTATTTGTTTATTTTTAAATGATTGTGAATTTTGTTCTATATTGTTCTCCCACTCTATCTCCTACATAGATCCGCCTCTGAGTGGTTGACAGTGGTAGCCAGGTACTATCTAGTTCTTCTGGTCTCAGTTGTGTAGTCTGAGGATTGCATGGTATACCAGTGACTTGGACTAATTGTTTCCATGCATCTTTGGATTTCTTCATTCTTCTTTGCTCTGGACAAGGAGAGACCCATTGTTGTACCTAGATGGCTGCTTGCAAGCTTTTAAGATCCCAGTCACTACTTTGCAAAGTACCATGTAGACCATAGCATAGTGCCTAAGGCACTTGACTGCTAACAAGAAGGCTGGCAGTTCAAACCCACCAACCACTCCTCAGAAGGAAGGTTGGGCAATCTACTTCTGTAGTGATACCGCTTCAGAAACCCAAGGAAGGGTTGCTATGAGTCAGGTCTGACTTGACGGCACATAACAACAACACACATGTTATGCCAGTTGAGTTTGATGTCACCTGCAACTATGGTCCCAAGCCCACAGGTCCAACTTCTCACTCTTCCTGGGTAGCTGGCTGTGGCCAAGAAGTGACTACACCCTTGTCCCTTGTCAACTCTACTATATACCTAGGATTTCTTACAGAACATACAAATACACTTGTAGAAACATTGTTTGCCAACCCTATATGTGGTCATGGGCACACTCCTTGCTGCATGTTGTTGTTGTTGTTGTTATGTGCCATCGAGTCAGACCTGACTCATAGAGACTGCTCTTTGGGTTTCCAAGGCAGTATCACTACGGAAGTAGATTGCCCCATCTTACTTCAGTCTGTCCACCCATCTGTCCACCCATATATTAGTGTTTGCCTTCACTGACATTGCAGTTCTTTATGTGCAAAAGGGTTCATCTTTGTTGTCTGTACCTCCCATGGACCTCTCTATGTCTCTCTCTTCCTCAGTGCCACTGTGTTGATCACTCACATCTGGTTACATTGCCCTTCTCTTCACCCAAATTAATACTTGTCTCTACCTATCTTAACAGTGTTCCCTCCCCTCCCGTCCCACCCCTGGTAACCAACAAAGAAAATTTCGTTCCATGTATAAACTTTTCCTTGACTTTTTGCAGCAATGGACTAATAAAATATTTTTCCTTCTGTGATTTACTTATTTCACTCAGCATAATGCTCTCCAGGTTCATCCACATTATGGGGTGTTTTGCAGATTCTGTGTTATTCTTTAGGGTTGCATCATATGCCAGTGTGTGTATATACCATGGTTTGGTTATCCATTCTTCTATTGATGGGCATCTAGGTTGTTTCCATCTTTTGGATATTGTAAATAGTGCTACAATGAACGTGGGTGTGCATATATCTGTTTTTGCCCTGGCTTTCACTTCTTTAGGATATATACCTAGTAATGAAATGCCTGGGTCAAATGGTATTTCTAATTCCAACTTTTTAAGGAATCACCATACTGCTTTCCATAGTGGTTGTATTATTTGACAGTCCCACCAGTGTATGAGAGTCCCAATCTCTGCACATTCTTACCAGCATTTGGTATTTATCATCTTGCTACTAGTAGAACTTTGCTACTAGTGCTGGGGCAAGGTGTTATCTGGTCGTTTTGATTTTTATCTCTCTAATGGCTAGTGATTGTGAGCATTTCTTCATATATTTGTTGGCCACCTGAATATCCTCTTTAGTGAAGTAGGGAGTAGTTCTTAATATATTGTCTAGCACTTGCTTTATATTGGTCTCTAGGTATTTGATGTAGACGTAATTAGTCTTCTTATATGTACACTGTTTTGCAGTGTTCCCTCCCCTCCTCTCCCTCCACTGGCAACCAACAAAGACAGTTTCCCTGCATATATAAACCTTTCCTTGACTCTCCACAACAATGAACTAATACTATATTTGTCCTTCTGTAATTGACTTATTTCACTCAGCATGATGTCCTCCAAGTTCATCCATATTACGCGGTATTTGGCAGACCCTACATTGTTCTTTAGTGCTGCATAGCATTCCATTATGTGTATATACCATAGTTTGGTCATCCACTCTTCCGCTATAAATCTTAGAGATAAGTCCCTTGCCAGATATGTAATTATTGGCAAATATGAATTTGTTGCTGTCGTTTTTGTTATGTGCTTTTTGTCGTGTCGATTTCTTTGTTCCATATAATTTTCTATGCTGTACTTGTTTTGTTTATGAATTGTGTTATCACTTCCTTCATTGCTGTTGTTTTAGTATTGGCTGAATATTTATGCTGGTCTCTTCTTTGATGTGAAGATTTATCATTTTCCTTTGAAGTTACTCTGTGATTTATAGTTTTCTTCCCAAGTTTAGAACAGTCTGTTCTATCTTGTAGTTGTCTTGAATTCCCTACCATTTAGAAGTTCTGTAATGACACAGTTTTTTCCCTCTTTTTGGTTTGTAGTTGTCCTCATTTGTAAATTGTTGTCTCTGGTCCCCTGTTTACAATCTTGTAGACTTATGTACTTTGGATACTTCCATAGCTGGGTTGGTTTCTGGGTTATATCATCATGTGTGTTAATGGTCAGTAGTTGTTGGCTGGTGTTGCTTCTCTGTCCAAAGGGCACCCTTTAGCATCTCTTGTAAGCTTGGTCTGGTTTTAACAAATTCCCTTAATTTCTGCATATCTGGAAATGTCCTAATTTCACCATCATATTTAAGGGACAATTTTGCTGGGTATATAATTCTTGGTTGGAAATTTTTCTCTTTTAGGTTTTTATATATATCTTCCCATTGTCTTCTCACCTGCATGGTTTCTGTTGAGAAATCTGAGCTTAGTCTTATTCGTTGCCCCTTGTAGGTAGCTTTTCATTTTTCCTGTGCTGCTCTCATGATTCTTTCTTTGTCTTTGGTTTTGGTAAGTTTGATGATGATAAGTCTCAGTGATTTTCTTTTGGAGTCTATCCTGTTTGGGGTTCTTTGGACTTCCTGAATGGATATATTCTCATCTTTCATCATCCCAGGAAAATTCTCTTCCAACAAATCTTTGACAAGTTTCTCTGTGGTTTTCTTTTGTGTCTTCCTGTTCTGGAATTGCGATTACACGTAGGTTATTCCTTTTGATGTTATCCCACATAAACCTTAGGCTTTCTTCATTTTCTTTTGATCTTTTTTTCTGATTGATCCC